CAGGTCTTGGCTCTCATTTTTTCCCCTTGTCCCTGTCCTCCCTTCACCCCCTCCTCCCCTCCCTATTAACAAACACTTTATTTCCATTTTTTCATTTTCTCATATTTTTTTCTTTTCCTTTATTACCTTTCCCCTGCCTTTCCCACTTTCCCCACACCTTTAGCCTTTTTCCCATTTCACAATGTCAGTTATCTCATTACACTACTACCATTTTAAACAGATTTTGTTTCCCACATTAACAAAAAGTTGAAGCTACTTGTCCAAGTACATCTTAGTTGTGTGACAGGGCCAAGATTGGAATTTCAGTCCTTTTCCTTTTCAGTACGATATTCACTATATCATGGTGAACACAGAGGTATAGAAAAGAGAAGCCCTGCCTTGAAAGTTCTCCTGTCTCAGGTTCTGTGCTGATTAGTTTTCAGTTAATGTGTTATGACTTCTGCATTTATTTAGTGTTTGCTTAATGGACCTTTCTTATTGCAGTGTCATAGAGAATGTTGGAAAAATATTAATGTCAGAATACTCTTTACAGGTCATTGGGCTGACTGCATCAGTTGGTGTTGGAGATGCTAAAAACACAGAGGAAGCCATAGCCTACATTTGCAAACTGTGTGCTTCTCTTGATACATTAGTAATAGCAACAGTTAAAGAAAACTTGGAGGAACTGGAGCAAGTTGTTTATAAGCCCCAGAAAAGTAAGTGGGTACCCAAGAACAAAACTTTGGGTCTTATATTCTCTGCTAACCCTACCTAGTTCAGTGCTCTTTTGATGAACTCTTGAACACTGACCCTTTGTTTAATAGAAAATACTCAAGCCCAAATTTAGGAGATAGTCACATTGCTATTTTTTTTTTCCTTAATTGAGCTCTTTTGGGGTGAGCTGACCTATAAGGAGCAAATATTCCTCCACCTCTGCTAGAGGTAACAAGAAAGCCAGAATGAGAAGCTGGGCCATGAAAGACAAATGTTATCAGTGTAGTAATCATTTGGGAGTTATTGCAAGTTTTTAAAGCATTTGTTGTATTATTTAGACCATGCTAATGAGCATAGGACCTCTGGTTTTCCAGAGGAAGAAACAAAGGCAGAGTAGAGTTTAGAGATATCTATGCTGAGCGATGATCTGTCTTCCCCCCAAAAGACCTCAATTTCCTTTGATGGCTCTAGTTTCCAGGAAAGTGGAACCACGGACCACCAACATATTTAAATCGATTATTTCTCAGCTGATGAAGGAGACAGAGTATCTGGCAAAGAATATCTCTGAAGAACTTGGTGAGTTCTGCTGTAACTCTTAGTGAGATAAAGCTCATATTTTGTATCTTGTCCTCTTGAGAATAGTCACATATTGTTCACTTTCTTTGAGTTCAAACCATATCCAGATATGAAGTTTTTGATTACAGGTTTTTCAGGAGCCCCTTGAGTCCTCCTGGATTCTTTTGCCTTTTTTCCTTTCAAAATCCAAAGTAAATCCATCTGGATCTGCATACCTGAAAAATACCATAAAAGTATCAATTTATTATGTGTTTGACTTCCCATGTTAGCTTTCCATCTTCACTTATTGCTATGAATTGAAATATCCATCCTTCTGCTGGCTTAGATTCAAACCTAGGGATAATCTTTGATTCTTTCTTCTTTTGAAACTTCCTCACATTGTCATCAAGTCCTAGCCTATGACTTAATTTGTTCTTTCCTTCACAAAATATTAGGGCCAGCCGGGTATGGTGGCGCATGCCTATAATCCCAGCGCTCGGGAGGCTGAGGCAGGAGGATTGCTCTGAATTCAAGACCAACCTGGGCTACACAGTGAGCTCCAGGTCAGTCTCAACTACATAGTGAGACCCTGCCTTAAAAAACAAAATTAGGGCCAGAGATTTAGCTCAGTAGAACCATGCCTGCCTTGCAAGTGCAAAGTCCTGAGTTCAATCCCTGGTACCAGGGAAAGAAAAAAGTCAAAACAAAACAAAATAAAAAACCTCAAAATATTTGTAGCACCATGTACTGAGGTAAGCAATGAAAATACTGAGATTGAAAACATAGTCCCTGCCCTCAGGAAACTCACAGTCAAATGATGGGGATCCAATGCAAAGAGTTGCTGTGTGGCTGGGAAGTTACATACTAGGCACTGTGGGGGCACATGGGAACTCTGTCATGGGTTAAGTTTCAGGGAAAGCACCCTTGAGGAGCTGATACCTAAGACATTCTTGAGGAAGTTGACCAATTTGAGGAGATAATTAAGTAAGGTAGCAAGTACAGCAGGCATAGAGCGAAGAGAGAATACAGTGAATTTTAGGAGCTGCAAGCATTTCTTGGTAATCATGTGAGTTGTGGAAAAATGGAAAACAAGGGGTTGGGGCTGGGGCTGCCAGGAAGGGCTTGGTTGGCCAGCCCGGGTTTGAATTTTATTCTACAAGTAGTGGGAAGCAAGCAAAGATTTTAGATTAGTGATGCGCTACGTAAGGATACCAGTTAAGAAACAGGGCAACACAAAGACCATAGAGATTAGTCGGAGAAGGCAGAAGGTGTATGAAAGGTGCTGACAACTGAGAGTGGTAAGATTGAGTGGCTCACTGGGTTTGAGTGGGAGTGAGAGGAGGGAAGAGGTGAGTTCTTTTATTTAGCAAATCCTCAGACATTTTTTCATTCGTTCAGTCAGTCAGTGCTAGACAATGTGCTAGATGTTGGGAATTTGGTGTGGACCTTGAGACATTCCAGTTAATTTTAAAGCCACAATAACTAAATAATAATAATGAAGCATCTTAGGGTGAATGAGTGGTGGTGATGAGGTTTGTTTCAGGCAAAGGGATGTACTATATGTGCAAAAGCCAGGAGACTAGGGAGAATATGGGGAATTTCATTAGTCTTATAAAATATAGGAAAACGAGTGGCTAGACAAGAATTAGAAGTAAGCAGAGGCCAGATCACAGATAGATCCTGTCCACCTTCCTGAATGAATGTATTTGTTTTTGTTTTTTTGTTCCCATAATCAAATACCTGGGACTGGGTAACTCATAAAGAAAAGAAGTTTATTTAGCTCACAGTTTGTGAGCCTGAAGGTTCAAACAGCATGTCTTAGGCTTTGGGGAAGGCCTCATAGTGGCTTCACTGAGGGAGCACGTGAGAAAGGAGGGAACCTTTTTTTCAGACTGAAAGCCAGAGAGAGATTCAGGGATGGGCTTATTCTTTTACAGTACTTTCTCAGGAACTAACTGTGATTATATGAGAATTACATTAATTCTTTCCAAGGCCAGTGCCCCCCACTGACCTAATAACTTTATAATAAATGGGCTCCGTTTATTAAAGGTCCTACCATCTCTTAATGTCACCACAATTGAGACCAGTTTTCAACGCATGAGCTTTTTGGAAGACACTTAAACCATAGCACCATGGCAGGGTTTTGGCCAGAGAAATCCACTAAAGCTTTTAGGTAGTGGGATAGCATAGTTTCTCATCTGCAATTTTAGAGGTTCCTCCCCTGCCAGGTGGGAAATGAATTAAATAAATAGGTAAGAGATAGGGAAACCAATTAGGAGGTTGTCATATCATCCAGGAATAATATGATTTTGGTAAAGTTGCAGGGGGACGGAGGGATGGTGATAGAGTCACATGAATTTCTACTTTATTATTCATGTCATTTCAGGTACTCTGCCTTTACCTTTATGCCAGGCCAAAAATACTGTCAATTGTTCATTTCTTAGTTGTTTACAGTATTTTTACACATGCTCAAGTTCAATACATACTTTATAGTTCATCTTATTATTCCTAACTACATTGTTTGTCACTGGAGCTGCAAAAGAAGCATGTCAGTGCTCCTTGTTTGGGTACCCTCCTTTTTCCTCTTATTAAAAATGAATGGTTAGGCGAGGGATTTAACTCAGTGACACCACACCTGCCTTGCAGGTGCAAGGTCCTGAGTTCAATCCCTGGTACAAAAAAAAAAAAAAAAAAAAAAAAAAA